AAAAAAAAACAATATCGTCTACCCCCAGCCTATAGTTAAAGATTAGCCCGTAAAAGCCAAAGAAGCCAGCATTACCAGTAGAGACCTGTTCGTTTCGTAAGGCAAGTCGAGTTACCAAATATAGTTATCGGAGAGGGGAAGGGGGGTGGTGGTGGTGGGAGCCATAAAGAAACACACATTAACTTATATATCTCAGTCCTTTTTCTTAGCCTAATAGTGATAACATTCTGTAAAGGAGCAAAGGGCAAGCTCTTACTTACTAGAAGTGTTCCAATATTTGTTAGATTTGCATGTGTCTAAAACAGAAGAAAAGGAAAAAAAATTAGGATTAATACTGTTCATAGCATAACTCGCTATTCTTGTTTATACAGCCGATAAGACCTTAACCCCTATTAAATCCTTTAAAACTACTGCTGTTTTACCTTGTGTCAAAGGTCTCTCTAAACAGCTTCGCCGTTGCCTATAGAAACAAGGCGTTCGCGCTGTTTTCAAGTCGGAGACTACGCTAAGATCTCAGTTAGTACGACCAAAAGACGCCGTCGACCCGGCTAAACAAGATGGCGTAGTTTACAGGATTCCCTGTGAACGAAGTAAAGTTTAATGATCGTGACGCTTATTACTACACGCGCAGGGTCAAGGGGGCAATTCATACAAGACTTCACCCTGACAACATCAACAAGGATAGTGGAATAGAAATTCCAAAAGCGTGGATGCCCACGATTAAAAAACATAACAAATGGAGAGCCGTACGACAGCAGACCACTGGGGAGTAAATCACTGAATGAAACAGCAAAGATCGATAATGGCCGTATAGATAATCCTCATCTCTGACCTTGAAGAAAATAAATAGAAAGGGATAAAGAAGTGACATAAATAGTGACCAAAAACTGTGGCAAAGAATTAAGAGCGAATTTTTTTTATCACCGCGTGGGAGGTGGCACATGATCGGAAAAGTCACTATCCTCATATTTCGCTCAGAGATACCTTAGGGTAAGTCTATAAACGTGGTTTAATTTTTTTGTTCAGAGCTGTTTTTATTTTCTAGAAAATCACCAAACACTGTATCGAGCCCCAACCGCCATAAAATGACCGAAATGAAGTCGACGAGTAGGGCAACAAAACCGTTATTCCTCAAAAGCGCAAAAGAAAGCAAGTCTTCCTGAATTTTACCTATTTGTATACGAGGTATTAACAAATGATTTGAATCTAATAACGGGCCTGTTGACATAACTATGAACTATTGGCGAATATTTGAAAATAGCCAAAATTTGATTGATTAAAAATTACATTTTGGAGCAGTTTTTCAATTAAAATTTTTCCTACCTGGTATAACTCGGAATCACTTGAGATGAGCATTTTTACAAAGTGGAAAGAATGTTCTTTCCATGGATATAAAAATTAATTTGGGGCTCTTAATTACTGCGAAGAAGTAGCCCGGTCTATTTCGTGCAAATCGCAATGCCGCCATGTAAACAACCGCAGATAATCCAATTAGGCTTTTTATTATCGAAGCCATAATTCCAACAAAATCTTATCGCTTTGACCTATACTAGATTGTAAACTGGATTTCTTAGGCTCACCTGGCGAAAAACACCTTTCTAAAATTGGTTCCTTGCCTCAATCTTGTTATAAAGAGACTTGACAACAGCTTCGATAGTACAGCACTACAGGCGGTGTATACCAAATCACAGTGAACACATCTCACGAAGGTTCCTGCCGGAAACTTCGCATTGCTGGACAGTTATAACCATATTTCAGCTTGGAACACTCACATTTTAC